TGGCCTTTCGTCCTTTTTCGTCCTTATTGATCCTTTTCGTCAGTTCTGTCCTTTTTCGTCTTTTTCGTATTTTTTCGTCCTTGTTCGTCCTTTTTCGTACTTGTTCGTCCTTTTTCGTCCTTGTTCGTCCTTGTGCGCCCTTTTTCGTCCTTTTTCGTCTTTGTCGTCCTTGTCGGCCTTTTTCGTCCTTATTGGTTTTATTCGTCTTTTTTCGTTTCTTCGTCCTTTTTCGTCCTCTTCGTCCTTTTCGCCCTTTTCGTTTTTATTGATCGTTTTCGTACTTTTCGTCCTTTTTCGTTCTTTTTCATCCTTCGTCCTTTTTCATCCTTCTTCGTCCTTTTCGTCCTTTTTCGCCCTTCTCTGTCCTTTTTTGTCCTTTTCGTTGTTATTGGTCCTTTTCGTGCTTTTTCGTCCTTCTCGTCCTTTTTTGTCCTTTTCGTCCTTTTTTGTCCTTTTCGTCATTTTTCGTCATCTTTCATACTTTTTCGTTCTTTCCGTCCTTTTCGTCCTTTTTCGTCCTTGTTCGTCCTTGTTCGTCCTTGTTCGCCCTTTTTCGTCCTTTTTCGTCCTTTTCCGTCCTTTTCGTCCTTGTCGACCTGTTTCGTCCTTATTGGTTCTATTCGTCCTTTTCGTCTTTTTTCGTTCTCCTCGTCCTTTTCGCCCTTTTTCGTTTTTATTGATCGTTTTCGTCCTTTTTCCTTTTTTATTGATCGTTTTCGTACTTTTCGTCCTTTTTCGCCCTTCTCTGTCCTTTTTTGTCCTTTTCGTTGTTATTGGTCCTTTTCGTGCTTTTTCGTCCTTCTCGTCCTTTTTTGTCCTTTTCGTCCTTTTTTGTCCTTTTCGTCATTTTTCGTCATCTTTCATACTTATTCGTTCTTTCCGTCCTTTTCGTCCTTTTTCGTCCTTGTTCGTCCTTGTTCGCCCTTTTTCGTCCTTTTCGTCCTTTTTCGTCCTTTTCGTCCTTGTCGGCCTTTTTCGTCCTTATTGGTTCTATCCGTCCTTTTCGTTTTTTTCCGTTCTTTTCGTCCTTTTTCGTCCTCTTCGTCCTTTTCGTCCTTTTTCGTTTTTATTGATTGTTTTCGCCCTTTTTCGTTTTTATTGATCGTTCTCGTCCGTTTTCGTCCTTTTTCGTCCTTATTCATCCTTCTTTGTCCTTTGTCGTCCTTTTCGTCGTTATTGGTCCTTTTCGTCCTTTTTGTCCTTTTCGTCCTTTTTGTCCTTTTCGTCCTTTTTGTCCTTTTCGTCCTTTTGCCTCCTTTTTTGTCCTTTTCGTCCTTTTTCGTCCTTATTGATCCTTTTCGTTCTTTGGTATCTTAGAGAGTGGGTCATTTGCCAAAATCAGTCTTATTTTGGCAAGTACTAGCCCCGCCCGCCCATCTTTTATTTTCCTAGAGGGCTACTACTTGTTAAAATAAGACTGATTTTGGCAAATGACATCCACTATAAGAAATAGAGGGTGGGTGGTTGGGGCTAGTATTTACTAAGATAAGACTGATTTTGGCAAATGACATACCCTCTAAGAAAATAAAGGGTAGAGGGTATATCATTTGCCAAAATCAGTCTTATTTTGGCAAGTACTAACTAGTTAAGGTAAGACTGATTTTGGCAAATGATTTACCCTCTAAGAAAACAGAGCACGGGTGGGTGGGCTAGTACTTGTTAAGATAAGACTGATTTTGGCAAAGGATATATCCTCTAAGAAAATAGAGGGCGGGTGGGCGGGGTTATTATTTGCTAAGATAAGACTGAACAATATTAAGAGTAGTCACTAGAATGAAGAGTGAAGAGGGGTGTGCTTGCTCGTAATACTGAGGTGTGGATTTTGATATGTTTGCCCCTTCATTAAGTTGGTAGAAATGGCTGAATGAATGTGATTTGATTTTTCGAATTAAAGTATATTTAGGGACTCTACTAAAATCTATCAATACGACATATTCTGTCAAGGCACTCTAGTTTTGCCTTACCGTTTTTTATGACTCTGTTAACTGTGTTCAAGCTAACACCGATCTCGTGCTTGACTGTGTACGACTCTTTTATTGTTCATTTTGTGAATATTAAGACTAAAAACAAGTAATTATCAAAACAAATATTTTAGGTTATGGCACTTACACTTCAAATATAAGGCAGTAAACCGAGCCTTGAAAAAATACTAATAAAGAAATACAGGATACACAATAAAATACGCCGAAATTTAGGTTTCTGCGCACGTGACCTTCGCTGTTCATGACAAATTCCACGTGCTCTACAATAATGTGGCCATGCACCAAATTGTTGTCAACTATCCAAAAACCTACCGATTTCTGAAAAAGTTGATACATGCATCTTACACAAATTATCATAAAGTTTTTTAATATATAAAAAGCAAATTTTAACACGAATAAAAGCGGAGGTAAGATTTAAGTATCAACTTCGTCAGAAATCGACAGGTTTTCAGATAATTAACAACACCGCTGCGAATTTTCTCATATAAAATGCATTGCTTACGTACTTTAAAACAAGTAGACGTAGGATGGTAAAACTTGGCGAGAACAGCTTTCAGGTAGTTTAAAAGATAACTTCTTCAGATGATATTACACATCAGCCAACTTTATTTTAAACTTTTTTAAAACACTTAAGAGTGTAAGAATATGGCAGGAGGAAGACACCAAAAATATAGCATGGAGGAAGCGGATGTGTCAAAATCGTCCAAAAACGCGCAGATGGACTACAGAAGAAATATTCAAAACTTTTGGATAACTCTAATAAATAAACAAAAAACTGGAGACAAGTAAAACCACAATATATAATACCAAAATAAACCAAAAACGTATTAATCATTACTTTCTTACATCAGTGCAAATTAAAATATGTGACTTTTGTATCTGGAATCAAAAACAGTAAAATAATTCCCAATTTTACACCCTCATTTCAAACCGAGTTTGTAATTTAACGTTCTGTCGCTCTTAATTACCAGATGAACACTTTCATGGCGGGAAACGAGCAATTCGCTCTTATAAAACAGTTCGTTTGCAATTCGGCTCCAGTGTTACAAGGATGTATTTTAGTCGATGTGGTGTGAGTGTAAATAGTAGGGAAAATATTTCGTACGAGCAACAGGTCCCTAATCGTTACTGGAGTTGTTTACGAAACAAAATCGATAGCCCTATTGTCAAGTTAATGCAAATCTCAACGGAGCTATGCGGAAAGTCGCTTTTTAAGACCCGCCCAGTATACATTTAATAATACCAGTGATCGAATTATTTAGGTAAAGATTGACTGGAGTGTTATTGATTGATCTGGAATAACGGTAATTAGTTTTGTGATACGAAGAGTAGCTACTGTAGCAGAACAATCAGAGATAGCTGAAATAGTCAGTTTGAACTTATACAGAACACCTGTAAAATACGTAATAAATGAGAGACAACTGTGAAAGACAACTGAATTTATTTGCTGTAACAAAATTAGAAATGCGAACTTTGTTTATGACAGTAGCGTCGAATTGCATCAATTTTATTGAAAACAAATACTATACCGGGTGTCCCAGCGTATGTTCAATATATGTAATACAATCTATTAAATGAGTAACTATTGGCATCGTATTAGCTTCAGTTTCACCGGAAATGACATCAACTTTTTTTTCTAAATTTAAAAGAGTACAGTTTGTAGTACAACAATTTTTTTTTTAAGACTAAAATGGAAATGTGAAGTTCTAGTCGTAAGAGAGTTTGCGTGTTGGTAACTAAATCGATGTGAGGTCAAAACCGTAGGTTAAGTTGCCGGTGTATTAAGGGAACAGCTAGGCCTCGGACCGTATCGGTAAATAGTTGTTTCGTGGCACAATCTGACACTGTTTTCAACAGGAGGTAAAATGGGTACAGTTTCACGCTAGCCTGGATTCGATGCAGAAAACCCAATCACTTCAGAGATTCCAATCAACCCCAAGTAGAGAAAACCTAAATAGACCAACCTCAAGTAGAGAAGTTCTAAATAGACCAACCTCAAGTAGAGAACGCCTAAATAGAGGATCCACAAGTAGAGAACCCCCCAGAAAAGGATCGTCAAGTAGTAGAGGACCCCCAAGAAAAGATCGAAAATAAAGTAGATAAAGGGCGCTTTAAAGAAGATTTAATTTAACTCAAATGTTCTGTAGCGAGAATCGAGATTTTAATTTTATAACAAAGGTTTTAAAATATAAGTCGGTGTATTATTTATGCGTGAGTTGTGAGTGGACGTAATAAACAACTTGACTTTTAAATGCGCTGGTTTTAATATCGTTATAACATCAAAGGGTTGCTGGGACGGTGATATTTGTGTGTAAATACTGTGATTTTTCATTTTAAATGCCAAATATTGTGTACATCGCGTCACTATGGTAAAGAGAACTTTATTAACATAGTGCAATGTAATAAAAAACAAAAACGGTTTATCTTAATCATCTATACAATGCAACCCGAAAAAACTAATCCGTCACTAATCTTGTACTTAGTGATATCTAAAGTGTGTACATTTTAAAGTAAACGAAATAATTGAATTTTAACTGGATTTACAAACCTTTTTTTTTACGAGTTTAAAGGGTGTGGTTGGTCATGCAAACAACCCATTAAAACCACTTGTTTGTTGAGTGAAATATCGATACGCTGTAATCTCCGCTTTTGTAATTCGTGATTGTTGGTATTATGAATATTTACATTCGGACACGTAGGGAAAGTTTTAAATTTAAAAATCACAACATAAATGTAAACACACTTTTTTTTCGAAGCGAATGTATGAATAAGTTAATGTTGTTTATGTAAATATGGCTGCTTTTTTACACACACGTGATCATAGCAATTTAATTATTTCACTATTCACGTTCATGTTCATGTTAATTTTTAAATATAATTATTTCGAAAGTCATTACAGAAAAAAAATTGGTGAAATCCCGTGTGTGTTAAAAAAAACAAATATAATTGAATAGTGCAATCATGTGAATGTTAATCTTTTCGTGTAGTTCGTTCGCTTTATAATTCTTTATGTTATAGGTATGACGAATTCACCAACGAAAACACAACAGTGGTGAGGAGGGAGTCAACGTTAGCCATCGTCAGCATAGCTCTTGAATCCTCTAGTCATTTAAAAACCGCGTCTTAGGCGAACCACTTCGCCTCGATTTACACTTATTGAAAAAAGTATTTTTAAGTCTCCTTGTCTTACCATTTATCAAACACACTCAAACTTAGCGAAGTTTAATTAAAAAAACTACGAGAATTTTGTAGTAAGAAGTCGTGTAACGTTTCTTTGTATTGTTACAAGCACCTAAAAGAAAAACAATATTTAAAGTATTTAAAAGAATCGCCGTTTCAGTTTCGTCTTGTTTTAATTTTCGATTTTACGACTCGTATTCGTTGCGCATCGATCATTTTGACTAGTTCTAGTACCGTTGTTTTTCTGTTTAAAGTGCTATTTTTATTATGGCAACAGTTTGAATTAATAAATATAAATAACATGTTAAAGGGGGTCTATATGTACTTGCTGTTAGTGTTAAACTCAATTTTTGAATGATTATCAATTATCTAGTGGTAAGTTGTGAAGACACCTGTTTGTAAAAAAATAATCCATCACTAGTTAAAATGTAATTTTACTATTTATTGAATGTATAATTGTTGAAGAAACGATTATTATTTTAGCTTAGATATTATACAGCAACTTAAATGTACATTCTAATGAATTAAATTGCGTAACAATAGACAATTTCGCCTATTTACATCGACACCTCCCGCCACCTTTACACCGACACGTCTTGGCACCTTTAGCTACCAAAAATTTGGCAATTTGCGCATTGTCAAGGTTTTTGACTAACGAATGAGGCGTCCGTCCGTCACCATCTTTGCAATTAATATCAGCATTTTCGTCGACAAGATACTTGACGATGCGAAAATTTGCCACCAAGCATGCTGCGACAAGAGGCGGAGTCATCCGACTGTTCAAACCTCGAAGTTTACTACCATTCGTCACCAAACACCTCACATTGTCCATATTTTTATCCAGAATGGCGTACGTTAAGGCCGTTTTGCCCTCTTTATTGACATGGTTAACATCAGCACCCTGTTGCACCAACAACTTGACGATTTCGGGCCTTCCACCAATCACAGCCCAGGACAGCGGGAGGGCGTGGTGAGACCTGTCAAGTTGAAGTTTGCCCTAGCCCACTGCGTAAATCAACGCAGTATTGCCGCTGTTGTCACAAAAATTGACTTTCGACCCTTTGTGTAGTAACGTTTCTACGATTTCTACGTTTTTACCGCCACAAGCCCACTGCAGAGGCGATTTTCCGTTTTCTCCAGTTAAGTCGACTTTAGCGCCGCTGTCAAGCAGCGTTTTTACAACATCCAAGTGGCCGTGCAAAGCGGCGTACGCTAAGGGCGAGTTTCCATGATTGTCTAGACGGTTTATCAGGGATTTGGCTTTGTCTTTGCTTAGGAAGTAGTGGATTAGGTCGAGATTGCCTTCTTCGGCTGACCACGATAAGGCGGTTCGACCGTTGCCGTCTACAGTGTCGATTGGTGTTCCGTGTTTCAGGAAAGATTCGATTATGTCTTGATTTTTGGCTATGGTGGCTAGGGTTAAAGCTGTTTCTTGGTGGATGTTGATGACATCAGATTTGGCTCCTTTTTCGAGTAAGTAGGTTATGATGTGGGGGTAACCGGAATAGGTGGCTCTGAGTAAAGCTGTGTAGTTGCACGAGTCAGTGGTGTTTATTTCTGCACCGTTTTCGAGGGATTCGATGACGAGGTCGAGGTTGCCCGTTTTGGCGCCTTCGAGGAGTGTGTGGTTCCAGTCCTGGAAAAATAAGGCGTGTAGTATAGTTGGTTGGTGGTAGTTTACCCCGATCAACATGATCAGACTGTTCGACATCTTTAACTGTAAAATTACGGTAGTATTATTTGCTTTCCAGCTTTAGGTAGGTATTTTTAGGTCCCTATAGATGATGAAGAGCCAAAGTATTTATTTCTGGTGAGGTTATCAATGTTTTTTTTTACAGCTACGAGGTATTTAAAACCTGGACAAGTTTCACCCTGTTGTTAATTTTAATTGAAACTCCGGAGCCTATGTATTTTGGGTTGCTTAGCTTTATTTAAATTTGGAACGTAATTTGCGACGAATACCCATAAGGAGCATTGTAGCACGAGCGGACTTTAGGGCTCCTTGTCGTGGCTGTTCTCCTACTTACGACGGTGATTTTGCCGCCAGCTCGACAGGAAACCGCGCACTCCGCTTCCGCTACGTGTTTCTGTGTTATTTAACCTCAGTTCCATTTAAATGTTCAATTTCTATGACTTTGATATTAAACAACAATTGAACAAGTTTTAAAGTTTCAAAAGAGCAATTAACAACATTTAAATTCGCCATACACTCTTGTGAAATTTGAAGCGGCAAAGAATTCTTATCTGAGATTAAGATTGAACAGCAGACAATTTTATGATGGAAGCATTAATCAACAAAATATTTATAAAACAAAAACTAGCAAAGATTTATAAAAATAAAAAAAGATCCTGTGTGAAATAAAGTTTACGTTCAATTTAAATTATACAACAAAGAAAATTACTGAAGTTAAAATTGTGAGATAGAAAATTTTGTTTGAGGTGAAAAATTGCAAAGCTAACAAAATTACATGAAATCAATATTTTATGTACGTTCGAGTTATCAGTTAATTTTTAAAAGTGAAGTTATTCAGCTGCATTGTGGGTCATCGTTTTACATTCCCCCCAACCAACAAATAAATAAAAACATAGCAAACAATCTGGAGGTCCAAAATGGCGTCGGACGAATGCGTCGTTCAAAAATGCGTCAAAAACATGTCTCCCAGAAATGTGATCAACGTTATTCATAATTAGATAAACAAAGAATGAGTTCTGACTAAGTGAATTTCATGAAACCTTCTAGCAAATGCTCCATCTAAATAATCTCAGGACCGTTAAATTGTGTTAGATTTAGTTAACGATTAAAATCCTAACATGAACTGTGAATTTACAAACAACAAAACAAATTTACAACACGTATTAGCGTCGATCGAAAATTCGCATTATTTCGCTTCGAAAGCCGCAGAATTAGCTACGCATGTTGGGGAGACTGTGGCTTCGTCGTCGTTACCAAACCAACTAAACTTAATCTAGCTAATCCACCATCTAGCTAAGTGACCTTCTCCCCACCCTCTACAAATGAAGTACCCCTCTCACTACCAACTAAAACCTATAACTAAAATTCCAAGCAGAACTACCGATTACTAGAACAAGAACTAAACGTGCACATGGTTGCCTATGTTTAACGATTTTCTTGATTGAATTTTTTTCAAATTCAAATTATTCAAATGCGATTTCGTGCTGCTGTTATTTTTTTCAGCGCGAAATTTTAATTCAAATTCGGTTACCACAACTGGGAAAATTATACTATGCACACGGAAAAAAATATAGATTCGGCATGGCAAACGGAAAAGATTCTGGACAATTGTGAAACAAATCAAAGCATTATCAATGTTAATTCCGTTTCAGTGATAGTGATAGTGAAGATGATGAGTCATGTTGATGATTTCGAGTTGTGTTAAAAATTAAAGAAGAAGAAATCACATACTTTTGGTCACTAAAAAAATCTCGCTGTCTAAATGTTGAACAGGGATATTTCCACGACTTTATTTAGATGCGGTAAGTACGTATAATGCATAAGTAAATACATATTTGTTTCCAGTGTAACAGATGTCCATTAGCACTTTTATTCGCAATATTTTTATAATTTTAAATGTTATACACGAATATGATTTTTTTGTATATAATAGGCAGTAATACTACAAGATGAACGCTTTTATATTTCCCGCTCATTCTGCCAATAGATTTTGGACCTGTGGCGGCACGATAATACGTAGTAGTTAGCGAGGAAAGATAAGCTCCTCCGTAGTCTAGTGGTACGGGCACCCGCCCGGTAAGCGGTAAACGTGCATTTTTCTTCGCTTACCTACAGACCTATTATATATATAAAAAAAAACTGTGTATTCCGCCAGTCTCGAGGGGCAAAATCTGCAAGTCAGCTCTCACAAATAAAATCAAACAAATGTCTTGAACGAACGCAAATTAAAAAAAAAACATCCAAAGAAAAACGGAATCGTCCTTAAAGCAACTGGATGCTACTTCAAGTCATTGATTAAATCAAAATCAATTCACAGATTACCTCGTGATCGAAACCTTATATCATATACAAAAAAAGCACATGCCATACAAAAATCAAAATAAGGTGGTCTTAGAAACGCTTCGTTAGAGCGAAGAATAAATGTTCAAATTCAAGTCCTAAAAAATATTTAAACTTATTAAATCCTTCCTGTTTTTCGAGTCCACGAAGATATGAATTTAACGGAAATAAAAGTGAAGGAATAGGAACAGTTAAAAATCTTGACGTGAACTGTGAATTTACAAACAATAAACAGAATAACAGGAATTAACACGTCGTGTCGACTTACCACACTATTTTATTTATTTTTTGAAAAAACGTACTGAAAAACTTTCTTCAAACTTCTACCATATATTTTATTAATAATGTTAATGCCTGTAATGTAATAATCTAAAAATCTATCCTAATTTGTATTTCTACATTTTCATAAAAAAGCAGCAGAATTAATTAATTACAATTTATCTAAGAACGTGGATTTGTTTGATCATGTTTCCTTTAGAAAACCGATTAATTATTTGTCGTGGAACTTGGACATGTTGGAGACAGAGTTTTTCTGGTTATACCCACGTACCCACGTCACTTAAAACAAACAAAATAATTCTGGCATTTAATCGATACTTAGCGTTGACTGGCAAGTTCAGATTTAATATCTCCTTGAAAAATGCGAATCAACAAAATGCTTTGGTAAGTATACAGTGTTTAATTAGTGGGCAAAAATGTGGTAGCAAAAATTTTCAGAACATAGGGACACTTGCATAGTTTGAAGCCGGTCCTGAACGTTGTTATTTGCAGCATTTTGAACGAGCACGCGCATTTTAATGTAAAACATCGTGGAGGTGTTACTTACTTTTAAATCCGACATTTTGTTTCTTGTTCCAAATGCTGTGACACTATCTTTTGCTGAATAGTGTGCGTTTTAATTTTACCGATGTGGTGAGTGTAACGGGATTTCAGTTATAAGTTTTTTATAGTTGACTATAAAATGCCGCACACAGTAGTTGAAAACACCTGTACACTCAAATTATAAAAGATTGATTCATTTTCATTGAGTGGATATCTCTGATAAAGTGTGATTCGCACATGTTATTGTACAACTTATTAAATAACATTGTGTAACATTTGAACGTTTGGGAAATGCCCAAGATGAAATGAATACTATCGAATACTATCCACACGTGCTACTTCGTCCATGAAGAAAAACAGTTATTTACGGTTTTTGTTGTCAGCTAGTATTATTCTGGTTATTACACAACAGTGTATCAAATTAATCAAAATTATGCAGCCTTCTTTGCACCTCGATATCTTACGACACGTTAAAGTATCTAATTAAATAGCATATTTATGTTGTTAAATTTATTATCAGCTGGTAAATAATGTTTATTTGAATGATCTTAGAGAAAATGGCTTCTGCCAGATGTCACAATGCTTCCTAATTTACGTTGATATATATTCAGAAGCTTTTTTAACTATAAAAGAAATGAAAATTGCCACTTTTTTATGAAAATTGAGATTTTCTTAGAAGAATTGATGCCAAATTTGTTGATAATGTGATAACCCAATCATCCCGCCTTAAATTGACATGTGAAAAAAAAAATTGAAAACCCGGGAAAAATTCAAAATTTGGCCTTGACTGTGATCGTCTAACAAAATGGAACCCTACGTAGTGTTTTTGAAAAATGACAGGATGCGTTCAAATGCCAATGGTGGACTCCAGGGTTGGAAAATACCGCTAAATAAAACACGAAATTTATGGAGGACACAAAATTATTTATTCCTCCACTGACAAAGAAAAAAGAAAAAAAAAGCTGCGTACCAGTGACCCGTGACTTGCCCTTAGCCTGCCCAGAGGGGGTCGAATCGCAATCGCTGTTCAGTTCCAAAAAAAAAAAAAAACTTTGAATGACTTGGAATGAAATCAAATTAAACGTTCTGAGTCAAGGCAAATATTTGAATATCACAAATTTAATAAAAACAAATAAAAATCTGAATTAAAGTAAGTGGGTGCAAATGCACAAGTTATTACAGACGTGTGGCGGCAAATTGAAAATTGTGGCAGTCAACAAGAGCACAACAAAAATACTTTATTGTGTTGTAGCACAAGCGGAGTTTGGGGCCCCCGGTCGTGACTGTTCTCCCTCACGATGGTGATTCTATGTATCGCAAGAACCACCGTACAGCAGGCAGTTACGGTCGCAAATTCGCAGTTGCGTCTCGACTATTGGGCCAAGTCGACAACGTTACGTCATCTCGACCGCTCCTGAATTATATTCTAACCTGCATCTTTTGTGCAGGTGGCGCGATAAATCCCGCCAGCTCGACTAGGAACCACGCACTCCGCTTCCACCACGTGTTTCTGTGTTATTTAACCTCAGTTCCATTTATATGTTCAATTCTTTTAACTCTGATATTAAACTACAACTGAACAAGTGTCAAAGTTTCAAAAACAGTAATAAACAACATTTAAATACAAAAATACAATCTTGTGAAATTTTAAACAACAAATTATTCTTATTTGAGATTAAAATTGGACATCAAATAATTTATATGATGGAAACATTCACCAACAAAATATTTACATAAAAAACTAGCAAAGATTTACAATGACTGAATCTTGACTAAGTGAATTTCGTGAAATCTCCTAGTAAGTGATTTATCTAAATAAATCTAATATCTGTTAAATTGTGTTAGCACCAGTTAACGATTAAAATCCTAATCTGATCTGTGAATTTACAAACAATGAATCAAATTTAAGGAACATTTTAGCGTCGGTCGAAAATTCACATGTTTTCCGATTAGAAAGCCGCAAGAATTAGCTGCACGTGTTGGGGAAAACTGTGGCGTCCCGTCGTCAGAACCAAACCAACAATCACGTGTTTCATCTCCCTCCACAAAGCGGTCATCTTTTCTACCAACCAGCCCTCTGACTAAAATCCCCAGCAGGACTACCCACTACCCAAAATTCGCTATCGTGCACATGGTTGCCTATGTTTAAGGATCTTTTTTGATTTGAATTTTGTTTTTAATTCAAACCATTCAAATGTGATTTCGCGCTGCTGTTAATTTTTTCAGCGCGAACTTTTGGCTCAAATTCGGTCACCACAATAGATAATCAGTAATATGAAGAGGCACTGAGACAAGAATAAGGAACAGCGAAATATTGATCGACATAACGGGTGTTCAATTAAAAAAGTCATCAAGTTGGTGTTGCTTTTTTGATAGAAGAAAACGTAGAGAAAAACGCATGCGTTTTATTAATTCATACCGCGCTATACAACTGACATTTCGGTGTTGTCAGCTGTCATCGATTAAATTTTAGTTTAATTGTAGACATACTTCACAACGTTTACAAAAAATCAAAGCCAATAACTTGATGACTTTTTTAATTGAACACCCGATATGTACTAGTATAATGTTTGTTGATATATGTTAAGTGCACAGAATGAATGAATGATATAATCAATATGGTGTAGCTGAAAATTTAAAAAATAAGAAAAATTCTTCAAATTTAGGTGTAGTTTCATAAAGTAGCAATTGTTTAACTAAAATTAATAGCATATTCCCCCTCTCCCCCACAAGAGTAATTAATTATTAATGTTCATAGTTCATGTTAATATGTTTAATTGTTCCACATATCAACAATTCGAACTTCACTTTTCTGTTTATCACGTTGTCTCAAAGTTTCTGGATGTTGTTACTTAAATATAAATAATTCATTTATGACATTTTAAACGGATCTCAAATACTGATCCGTCGGAGAGAAAGGACCTTGAAAACTTGCGGTTATTTGCATATTTTCGTGGACTCGAAAAACGGGATGGCTTTAATATTTTTACAGTGTTAATTCAGGGTTTCTATAAATAATTATAGGCTCGAAGTAGGTCATGAAAACGTGCCGCTTCTCAGTTTTGGACTTTACTATAAATGCACACGCACCACAAATACCGCACGTATCTGTATAACTGGATGCCTAAACGCTTCATATCTTATTAAAAATTAAAGCTAATTCATTACAATAAAAAAAAACAAATTTCTTGTAGCTAAACATCACAGTAAATATTGAAAATGTTCATCATTTTATTCAGGGCACATGTTCACTCTCTTTTTAATTTTAAAAATGTTCTGTAATCATTTTGTCAATATCCATTGTTCAATTTCATCCAATGTTCTCAAAGATATTTGCGGATTCCGCTCAAATCGTCTCAAATCATCAACAACTTCCTCAGATGCTGAAGCTCTTCCACGAGATTTTCCGTTGTTGACACTGCCAGTTCGAACAAATCTGATGATTACATCTCTAATGTGAGCCTCTAACGATGTTTCTTGAATTATTAAATCACGGTATTTGGTCAGATATTCTTGTTTACAAGCGGTTAGAGAATACACCTACTCTTCGTTTACGAATGTCCCATCGCGATAATAAGACAACAATGAAAGTGCCTTGTTCAGTAGAATAAACCATTTTCGCGGACTTCGTTTCCTAGCACAAAAACAAAGTTTTCGTACAAAAGCACCAAGAGTTTTACCCTAGTCTGTAGTTTGCTTTAGGTCTAATTATTCTCTTACAGGTTTAATAATATTTCTGCGGCTTGAATTTGAACATTTATTCTCGACGGCGCCGCTCTAGAGCGCAGTGATTCCGAGACTACCTTACTGTGATTAACATTAACATACGATTTAACATCCGCAATAATTTAATATCATTATTTTTTGGTTTGAATTAGGGTTCGTTTTTTTCTTTTCAGCGTTGTTTTACAGAAACCATTACCATTATTTCTAAAAGATTTTTTGATTTTTTACTTCTGAAATTGTCTATAGAGATTTTAGGTTTGGAGACATTTCTCCGGAAGGTTATTTTATTGCGTGGTATTGTAATCCGACTAATGGTACCAGAATATTTGCTTTAAGGATGAAGTTACTATACTTTATAAATAAGTAAATATATATATATACAATTGGAAAATTTACTATTTGTCTTCTTCCCTCTTTGTGTGTGACTGTTACAAAATCTTTTAACTTGAATTCCATTACGTGACACCTTTTTTGTAAGATCACACTCCATATTTATCGCAATACAGGACTCCTAAAAATAAAGCAAAACATTTAAACAAACTTTTATTGGTACTTCGTCACGTACTACTAGTATTGAACTGTATTATTATAATAAAAAACGTTGTAACTGTACCCATAATGTTCAAAATGGTTGTCTTATTTACAGAAAAAAACCCAGCCGCTGTAAACTGTGGAAAATTGTCAGACATCAATGTAATAAAATCAGAAATTTCCTGTTTTTCCACTAAAAGAGCATATTGGCGCAGTTTGTAAGCTAGTAACGTAGTAGTTTTTGCTTCATCTAGTACCAAATCGCATAGAAGAATTAACGCAATAGTACCAATCTACAACAATGTAAATCTTAAAAGAACTGAAAAAACAGTCGCGTCACTTACATTAGCCAGAAAAACCACACTAATATTAGAAATGATCACCCCAACGTACTGATTTTTACTATAACCAAAACTATTTTTAAAAATATCGTCCAAATAGTTGAGCAACAAGATACTCGAATACAAAATGATCAAAATAATCGGCCACCCAAAAACGTCATTAAACGCCACATTCATCTCTTTCAAAAAACACACTAGATTCTCGATCCTCCTCATCGAAATCGGGAATCTTTCCAAGGTCGTGGGTCTTCTCATCTGCATGTACAATATCTGCTCCGACAGAAGAAAATTCACGTATTTGTACTTTCCGACGAAGACTTTAACAAACATGCAGAGAAAATAGCTGTAGTAAAACTGGAAGTAGAGTTGTATCACTTCGACGAAATACTGCTCGTAGTACTCAAAACCCAGAATATCCGTCCAAACGTAAGACACGTACACTGTGATCCCCCAGTATATCACATTTGGCGCGACGAAACCCGCATAGAAGGGTATTTTCTCGCACAAGTCGTCTAAGGTTACGTTGTCATTTTGTTCCAACATCCGAATCAAAAAACAATACTGGCGCCTTTTGAAATACACAGGTGCCAACACTGTGTAGCAGTTGAAGATGTTGACGATGAGCACCATGCTGATTGTCAGGACTAGCTTGATTGGCGAGAAGTTGACGTAAAGGGGTTGTCGGTAGTACAAAACGGAGATGGTTGAAGCTACCATGAGTGCAGTGATGACGCAGATTGAGTAGATTTTGGTTCTGATTTTTTTTACTTTGTTTCTTCGAGGGGTTATTGCGAAAATTTCACCGAAAAGCATGATGAGGCGGAGAAGTCTGAAGTTCATTGTAGGACGAGGGAAAGAGTGGGCTCATTTTATTGTATAGTTGGTGTTAAAATGGGGAAATCTATAGCTGGTTTGATGAATTATTCATGGTTCTTAGTTTCATTAATGATTTATTTTTGGCCAACTGTTTACCTTTAATGACATGGTGGTGTGTGGAAATTATGGATACATTATTAATTTTTATAGGATTTTGTTAACTCGATATAACAGGTTCAGTTTTATTGATGAATGCTTACAGTGGAAAGTTTCCAATGTATATTATTACAGTGTATTAGGTTGGTAAGTCGCACGAATTTTGTTATTTTTTGTTTTTTGGTCATTTATTCGACGACTTTGATTCAGTTGTCGTCGGATTTGTACATTCTGGCTACACTCTGTTTCAAATCGATCGATATGGGTAAGTATGTGAGTTTCATGGTTTTTAATGATTAGGCTTCGGATTTTAGGTCGTTAAAAAATGAATAAAAGGAGACATTTTTAGGTCCCAAAATTGACGAATTAGGTTATAAAAATCTTAGTTTAGGTTAAAAACCTGGAGGAAAAAATATTTGCTCAACGAAAAAACATACGTCAAAAAAATATATATTAAAAAAAAACATTAAACAAAACATTATAGAAACAAATATTTTGTGTAACAAACAAAAAAATGATTAAATAAACAATTTTCCAATTACTAAATGGGCTATGTATGTTCCTAATCTGTCCGTCGTCTCATCGACGCTAATACATATACCATTATTGCCAATAGAATATCTAATTTGTTTAGTTACCTGTAAATTATAAAATTTATGTTAAAAAGTTTTTAAATAAAAATTCTAGTGCTCACCATATCGTAATCTTTTGGTAAATAATTTTTTCTCAGAGTGCTTTCTGAGGGTAAATGCCTTCCTGTTAATTATGCATAAAATTTTTAAACTCAGGACAACTAACTTTATTCCATGGAATATTTGCTGCGGTAAATACCCTCCATAAATCGGTGCAAAATTGCGTAAAATCATTGTCGCAACTAATGTTTAATAAAGTCTGTTTATTGGAGTTATTCTCGTTCTTTTTATGTGCATCGCCGATGCAGTGTTGTTCAAAGTGTGATTTTTTTTCGCACTTAAACTAGGAAACAAAAATGTGAACATAATTCAAGCTTTAGTATTTTAAATGTTTACTAACAACTTTTCCACACACTTTGCAGAATAACTCATTTTCTTTGGTTGAAGAAGGAAATTGAAAATTAGTGTCCAAATTATTCCCTAACCATAATTTGATTTTATCTTTCATGGATGATTTTATCTTTGGCATTTTGAGGATTCTTTACTGTATGCACAAAAATCAAAACCGGGCCCAGCACACTCACTAACACGCAAAGACACTCAGTATCACTAACAATAAACTTCTAAAATAAAATGCTTTTTCAGAGATTCACCTCCTTCCGGCTATAATCTAAATGAAATGCAGGCCAGCGTTGTCAGTTAGCGACACCAACCCGTACCATTAAACTCAAGGGGGTTGTTTACAACCCATTTTTAAACAATCTGTCCGGTTCGTTGGTCGTAGAATCCTATTTTAAGTCTTTTAAAATTTACAATTAGGTCGTTTAATTAACACTTTAGGTCTCTAACGGTAAATTAGGTATTTTAGGTAGTAATAAATGGGGGTTAAATAAACAGAATTTTTTAAATTCGGTTAAATATATAAATTTCGCTGCAATGCCTGAGGTAGATATAGATATAAAAAGGCAAAAAACCTAAGATCCGAAGCCTGTTAATGATATAGGTTAAAATCAGTTTGGCTTTTCGTTCCGTTGTATGGGATATTTCATTTAGTGTTTTTAGTGATCATGCTTTTTTTTCATTTTGTTGGCACTATTTTTATGCCAAAACGACAAGCCGCTGTTACTGGAGCGAAGCCCGTGCTTGGCAAGAAAATTTTACAGACTTTGGTCAACAAAATGCATATTTTCATGTCTAATTTAACAGTGTTTGCACAAATTGATTTGTTTTTAATAACTTCGTTTTTCAAGGAAAACGCCTGTTGGTTTAACTCTGACATTGATTATTAATTACGTTTAAATATTGTAGGCAACAGAAAGTGCCGTGACTTTGATTTTCACTGGAAAACATCATAGTACTATAATTTGAAAATGTAAATTTTTATATTTCATATTTTTTTACTTTTTTCTAATTTTCATAAAGTGCAGCGCTGTTACAAACATACCAAATAAATATTTATTTATAGGCGTAGAATTATTGTTTTTAATTAGTTAAAAGCAAATGATCAATAATGAAACGTGGTATATTAATCTTCAGTAGAGTTGTTATTGACTAGTCATACAAAATGGACAACTATATGAAATTTTTCTTCAAAACGGGTAAAATTCTGGCGATTATACCACCCTACGATAACTCCGTGACCCGATTTCAGACGATTTATACAATTTGCATAGTTGCTTTTATCACAACTACAGCAATATTATCAATCATTGAACGAGATTATTTTGCGAAATATATTTATGCAAAGATTGCAGTAAATTTAATAGCTGACGTAAATCTGTTACTTTGCACTTACACATCGACTTTAGGTGTAGTAATCTGGAAGAAAACTGAATGGGAGAAATTGATGGCAAACATAAAAATAATGGTGGTTTTAGAAAACACACGAACATTTTTGCGCAATATTGTTAAAGTTTCAGTATTTAAACTGTTTTTCGATTTAATAATCAATGTTTGTGTTTACATTTTTTGGGTGAGAACGCATGGTTTCATTCCATGTAGCACAACGTATGGCATCCACTACATCGAGTTATACATCATTTACGCTTACGTCACTGTTGTTAGTTTTATGCTTGGGGTGGTAAAGTTACAGTATAAACATCTAAATACAGTACTCAAACAACAACTCGAAACAACTAATATTTCCATAAAGAAGACACTCATTGTTTTGACAAAAATTGAACAAAACATTTATTTTCTTAAAGATGCTGTGGATAATTTAAATACCGTCGTTGAATGGCCGGTTTTTTTCATAATTTCTTATACTAGTTTATACATGCTGACTAGTTTAGACTACATTTATGTGGCTTCAATAAAAGCGGAAGAGAATGTGGGACTACGAATTTTGGCTGATGTAATTGTATCATTCTTAATGTTTGTAAGGGTTCTGAACACTTTCTTACACTTTAACTAGAAGTTGTTTGTAATTTTTTGCAGACTAGGACGTGTAACATGATTTTGGAATTTGATGCCGTCTTAAATCAAGCTGAAGAAATTCTCAATAAATCACATATTTTGTGCAGGAATTCTCATACTTTACCACAAGGTGAAAAGAGTCGACTTAAACAATTTAGTAGAGTGATTCGACAAAATTTCCCAAAGTTCTCAGCAGCTCGATTTTTTGGTATTGATAAATCGACTATTCTAAGTATGCTAGGAACCATTATAACGTTCTTTATTATTATGATACAATTTTACAACACGGTGTATTAATAAAAGAGCTTCTCAACTGAACAGTGTGTCAATGCCCCCCCTTTTTTTTTAGTAATACTAAAAATTCTGAATATTGGGGGTTTATCCACAATACAAACTAATTATTTCTAATAACGTAAAGTACTAACTAACAAATACTCAAAGTAAACATTTACCATATCTTAAAGTAATAACTTTGGTCAATTATAGGTTGCAACAACTTCGTTTTTGTGTTCTACAGTGAGCTTTTATTATCCTTTCCTAAAAATGGAAAAGCCTTTGATTTTCTTCTTCAAAGTTGGCAAAATTTTGGCAATTACACCACTCTACAACCACAGAGTGACCCAGTGTCAACAAATTTATAATTTTGTTCTATTTATTTCCATCGCCATTACAGCAATATTATCCGTCCTAGAAAGAGAATACCACAAAAATTATATGTATGCAAAAACAGCACTAAATGTACTGAACGACATAAATCTTTTACTTTGCACTTGCACCACCACGATGTCTGTAGTCACTTGGAGAAAAAATCAATGGGAAAAATTAATAACCCATATTCAAATAATGGTATCTTCGGAAAATACGAAAAGAATTCAACACGATGTCCTGATTTCTATTGTCAAGCTGCTTGTTGATTTAATCGTTATTATTTGTGTTTACGTTTTTTGGTGTAACCATTTTGGTTTTGTTTCCTATACTAAAACGTACGGCAGTCAGTATATTCAGTTTTATCTGGTTTATGCTTACATTACAGTCATAGGTTTCATTTTAAACGTAATAAAACTGAAGTATGAGCACCTAAATAAGTTGTTCCAAAAACAAGTAACCGTTTCTAATATATCGACCAATAAAACATTCTTCACTTTGACAAATATTGAACGCAACATTTACTTTCTTAAAGACGTCGTCGACAATTTCAATGCAGTATTTGGGTGGCCTATTGCTTTAATCATTTCCAACACTAATTTATACATTCTCAACAACTTGGATTATATTTATAGAGTGTCTGTAAGACCGGATGAACATTTGGGACTACGAATTGTGGCTGACGTGTTGCTCATATTTTTAGTGTTTGTATGATGCATTTTCAATATTTGTTTTGTTGGTTACTAACGTTTCTCACTTGCAGACTAAAACATCGACAGTCATTATCAAATGTGACACTATTTTAAGCGAAGTTGAAGAAATTCTTAGCAGAGCATACATTTTGCGTCGAAACTCTTACTTAGCACCAAAAACCGAAAAGAATAACGTTTTCACGGAATTCAGTAAAGTGGTTTCACACAATTTTCCAAGGTTTTCTGCTGCTAGATTTTTTAACATTGACAGGTCTACCATTCTTGGTATGATAGGGACAATTACTACTTTTTTTATTATTATGATACAATTCCGCAACAGCAGCACTGAAATTAAATAGCTTCGAATGTACGAGTATATGCAGTTTTTTTTTATCCCAGATCATTCTAAATGAGAAAGGGAGATTGAAATTCTTCAATAATGGCGTCGCACACCATTTGGTGAGTCTGCTCCTTCAGCACCGATCGTCGTTGTGGTGACATTCTATACGGAGGTGCAGCAATTGGATGATTACTAGTGAGCTCGATGCAATGTTTTATCATTCGCCGTTTTAACTGTAATGGATTTAATCTTGCCCTAAATGCGGTGTCACGGATGACACAAATCACATAATTTCGGAAAGCAGACCAGAGTTCTTTAACTGAATTAACTGTAATAAGCTGTTAAAAAAGACCAATACTCCCGCTACTTCAAACCATACCGCTTGGGATAAACATCCGTCTATCTTGTGGCTACTGAGCAGTTCAAGAAAGATAACTTTCTTAAAAAATAACAATTATTTTTCAGTTCGTCGATATCTATGTATGAGTACACTAATCTTCAACTGTTCCTAACTTAACCTCTCCACCACTTAACCAACTTACCTGATATCAACTGGTCTTTGTCCAGTATACCCGAAGGAAATGTTAATAATTATTATTATTAATAAAGAAATAAGGACAGAGGTAAAACCTATGCGTCCAAATATAATTACGAGGCACTAAATTCGTTCACGAGAAAATCGTAACAAAAAGACAAATAACAAATCCCCAGAAAAGAACAACAAAATCCGAAAATTTGCAAACCTTAATTACATAACACGCATATCCTAATCTGCATATAGTACAATTCAAACAGAAAATCAAACTCAACCACCAGTCCCCGAACTTGAGAACAAAATTCGCATATTCGCAAATTGCAAATATCATTGCGCTTGTCAGACATTGCAAACAACATGTGCAGAATCGTACACCATAAAAATCGCCTATCGCAATTACTTTCATCCGAAATTGTATTCAAACTAAAACAGCTGCAAACGAAACTCAGATGCATAAAAAACATCAAAAAACGCCGCCTTCACGAAGATGTGGCGATGACAACATGGGAACTATGACGCAAGTTCGAAAAAACCCGATGATTTATCACAGTAGCTCCATAAAAACGTCAGAAACTAAACCTTACTAAACAAACCCCATAAAACAGCGAAATAAGACCTAAAGTCGCGTTCCGAGTAACACATAATTTACGATGAAATATGGCTTACTAACGTCGCGGGAGACAAGATTAATGGGTAAAAATCCCTATAAAAGCAGTAGCGCCGGAAGTGATATTTTGAAGAAATCCCAACTTACAATAGAAAAATATGCTGAGATCGAGAAGAAGATAGAAAACTTTCGATACTACCTCTGTGTATGTCTGCCTTCCAGTCATTCTTAATTTATCTTGCTTTCATTTTTCCATAATGTGTTTTCGATTTCGGTCGTACATATGAAGCGTTTAATTTATGCGTTTTAGTCGGGGGGTCTTCGATACGTTTGGTGTGAACAGGAATTTTTAGCGTTAACAGATGTTCTCGTTTGCGGGTGGCACTTTTGGCCTTGCGTCGGCTTTTGGTCGTTGGGGAGGATTTTTTGATAATTTACCGATCGGTTTTTTTTGATAATAATTAATCCAACGTTTCCTTAATTTGCAGATTCAACCCCTTCGTACGCGACACTGATATTTTAGACGAGTTTTTGGGAAGGTTTCGAAATGAAACCATTTTAATTTGATTTTCTTGCAGTCGATAATTGAAATATTGATATGTGTTTAAACAAAACTCTAGATTGCTCTTACCTACTCTCATGGGAGTTTTAGGGAACTTTTTATGGTGCGGATGTATATTGCGGGGTAATTTAGGAATTCTGGGTAATAAGATGGGACGGCATAATAAACCATTATTCAACAGAAATGACATCTCCGTTTTCTGCAAAAATTCAAAAAAATGCGACGGCTGTCTAACGGGAAAAGAGCTTAACACTGACATAAATCAAATCGATATAATGAGTGACAGTCTTTCTCAGGAAACTTTAGCTTACTAATGTTGATTATCAACCAGGATACTAGATTTCTATTATTCTTATACTAAGCGGTTTTTGATGCGAGTTTGTTATTTTTATTATTATGTTTTTGTTAAAAAAAGTTCTTCCTAAACATTTTAGAAAAATAATTTTTTTTTACTTTCCCACTAATAGCTCGTCAAGGGCTTTCTGTTTAATCTTCACGAAGTACAACGCTGTTACAAACACACTAAATAAATATTTATTTATACGCGTAGAGACAATTATTTTTTTAATTAGTTAAAACCAAATGATCAATAATGAAACCTTTTATTATACTTACTTCAGCAGACTTGCTGTCGACTAGTTATACAAAATGCACAATTATTTGATATTTTTCTTCAAAATTGGTAAAATTCTGGCGATTACACCATCCTACAATACCTCCGTCACTCGATATCAGACAATTTATAATTTTTGTGTAGTTGCTTTTCTCACAACTACAGCAATATTATCAATCATTGAACGAAATTATTTAGAGTACTATATTTATGCAAAAATTGCGTTAAATTTAATAGCTGACGTAAATATATTACTTTGCACAGTAACATCGATGTTAAGTGTAGTTATCTGGAAGAAAAGTGAATGGGAGAAATTAATGGCAAACATAAAAGTAATGGTGGTTTTAGAGAATACACGAAATCTTCTCCGCAATATTGTTAAAGCTTCAATATTTAAACTCTTTTTGGATTTAACAATCAACATTTGTATTTACATTTTTTGGGCGAGAATGAATGGTCTTATTGTATATATCAGAAGGTATACTATCCATTGTATACAGTTATATAACATTTATGCTTACGTCACTGTTGTAAGTTTTATACTTAGTATGATAAAGTTACAGTATAAACATCTAAACATAGTACACAAACAACAACTCGAAATACCTAACATTTCGATTAAAAGGATGTTCTTTGTTGTGACAAAAATTGAACACGACTTTTATTTTCTTAAAGATGCTGTCGACAATTTGAACACTGTCGTTGAATGGCCAGTTTTTTTCATAATTTCTTATACCAGTTTATACATTCTGACTAATTTAGACTACATTTATCTGGCTTCAGTAAAAGCGGAAGAGAATATGGGACTACGAGTTTTGGCTGATGCAGTTGTAGCGTTCTTAATGTTTGTAAGGGTTCTGAACACTTTCTTATACTTTGATTAGAAGTTGTTTGTAATTTTTTGCAGACTAGGACGTGTAATATGATTATGGAATTTGATGCCGTCTTAAAAGAAGCTGAAGAAATTCTCAATAAATCACATATTTTGTGTAGGAGTTCGCATACTTTACCACAAAGTGAAAAGAATCGACTCGAACAATTTAGTAGAGCGATTCGACAAAATTTCCCAAAGTTCTCAGCAGCTCGATTTTTTAGAATTGATAAATCGACTATTCTTAGTATGCTAGGAACCATTATAACTTTCTTTATTATTATGATACAATTTTACAACACGGGCTGTTAATAAAACAGCTTCTCAGATGAACAGTGTGTTTCTTTTCGATAATACTAAAATCAGATGGAGCCGAGGCTGCGTAGTAAAACCCACAGTTCTAAATATTGGGAGTTGTACCTTTGGCTAAGCGTTCTGATAATCTATACATGTAATTTATTTCTCCTATCTGTATCGTGTTACGAATTCCTGATATTGTCTTAATTGTTTCTAATAATCTAAAGTACTAACTAACAATAATTATTCAAAGTAAACATTTATCATATCTTAAAATAATGACTTTGGTCGATTATAGGTTCCATTATAACAACTTGGTTTTTGTGTTCTATAGTGAGCTTTTATTGCCCATTCCCGAAAATGGAAAAGTCTTTGATTTCCTTCTTCAAAATTGGCAATATTTTGGCAATTACACCACCCTACAACAACAAAGTGACCCGGTGTCAACAAATTTATAATTTTGTTCTATTTATTTACATCGCCATCACAACAATATTATCCATTTTAGAAAGAGAATACCACAAGGGTTACGTGTATGCAAAAACTGCACTAAATGTACTGAACGACATAAATCTTTTACTTTGCACTTGCACGACCACTATATCTGTAGTCACTTGGAAAAAAAATCAATGGGAAAAATTAATAACACACATTCGAATAATGGTATCTTCAGAAAATACGAAAAGAATTCAACACAGTGTCTTGATTTCTATTGTCAAGCTGCTTGTTGATTTAATCGTTATTATTTATGTTTACGTTTTTTGGTGTAACCATTTTGGTTTTGTTCGCTATACTAAGATGTATGCAAGTCAGTATATTCAAATTTATCTGGTTTATGCATACATTACAGTCATAGTTTTCATTTTAAATATAATAAAATTGAAGTATGATCAACTAAATAAGTTGTTCCAAAAACAAGTAACCGTTTCTAATATATCGACCAATAAAACATTCTTCACTTTGACAAATATTGAACGCAATATTTACTTCCTTAAAGACGTCGTTGACAATTTTAATACAGTATTTGGATGGCCTATTGCTTTAATCATTTCGAGTACTAATTTAACAATTCTTATCAGCTTAGATTATATTTATAGAATGTCCATAAGACTCGACGAAGATTTTGGACTAAAAATTTTGGCTGATGTGTTGCTCATATCTTTAGTATTTGTAAGAATTTTGAATACTACTTGTTTCGTTTGTTACTAATGTGGTTTACTTTCAGACTAAAACATCAACAATCATTATAAAATGTGACGCCATCTTAAGTGAAGTTGAAGAAATTCTTAGCAGATCATATGTCTTGCGTCGAAACTCTTACATTGCACCAACAACTGAAAAAAACGTGTTCAGGGAATTCAGTGAAGTGATTTTACACAACTTTCCAAGGTTTTCTGCAGCTAGATTTTTTAATATTGACAGATCTACTATTCTTGGCATGGTAGGGACAATTACAACTTTCTGTATTGTCATGATACAGTTTCGCAGCAGCAGCATTGAAATTAAATAATTGTTAACTTCTTTGTGTTTATATCCCATTCACTTTAAAAATGTAAACATATTCAAATTTACAAGATTTAGTTTCTTTCTTCAAGTCTGACCCGGTATCCCTTTTTAGCCGTTGCCACTATACACATGTCCAAATCTATATCTTCTACTTTTTTATAATCAAGAGATTCTGCTACTCTAAAACGCTTCAAAATGATAGCTAAGAACACCTTCATAGACAGCATGGCGTATTTCCAACCTACAAAAAAATGATAATTTAAGTACATAAAAAAAAATTGGTTACCTATGCAGTTCCTGGGACCACTACTGAAGGGAATGAAAGCACCACGTGGACGTTTCTCCACTTCTTCAGGCAAAAATCTATCAGGATTGAACATTAAAGGATTGGGCCAGATGTCAGGTAGTCGATGAAGTTGGGAAACGGGAATTACGATGTCGCACCCGGCTGGTACAAAATAAGAGTCTAAAATTGATAATATCATATCATCCCAACACACTATATTGTGATACTAGTTTTACCGAACTGCATTTCTGTGTCTACTTTTCTCACTATAAAAGGCACTGGTGGGAGAAGTCTGAGAGTTTCTTTAACCACGCGTTCTAAGTAGTACATTTTATTGACATCTTCCAGTGTCACACTTTGAGTATCATCACTGAGTAACGAGGATATTTCTTCATATACTTTTTCCTAAACAATAACAACATAGTCCTTGCTTTTATTTAACAATTAGTTAGATTTATAACCTGAATTTCGGGATGTATCCCTAACAAGATTAAAGCCGAACCAATTGTAACTGCTATTGTTTCACTGCCCGCGTGGAACATAAAGACACTTTCTTCAATTACACCACTCATGCTTATTTTATTTTGTTCGTTCATTTCTAGCAAATAATTTAAGTATTGTCTGTTGCTACTGGTACTAACTGCATTACTTTGTTTTTTATCTATAATCTAAAACAAAAATTTCGTCTTGTTGGTTGTCTTGAAAAATTTACCTCTTTTATAAAATCTTCTAAAACTTGACAAATTTCCAGTTGTTCTTTCCGCAGAGACGATCTATTCCAAAAATAATTTAGGTTTAGATGAGGCTTAAAAAAGCGTAATTTCACAGTTTCTTCGTATCTGTAAGTTTTAATAATTAAAGTAGGTTCGTGATATTTGCCACTGATAATACCTCATTCCACTGGACACAAATTTAGTTATGTTTTGTAGTGAGCCGGGACATACATCTCCTAGTGCTTCTAAAAACATGTAATATGATAAGTAAGTATACGTAATGTAAGTAGCAGAGCCGACTGAAAATCATTCTTAATTTAAGTCAACAAGCGGTAACACTTGTATACGTGAGAGTCAAACAGAGAAACTGCAAACAATACCGATGGTCGTCCAGACTTTTTTTTTTGCTTCGACTTGGATTTTATTTTATTTGATGGTGTAATTCACAGTTGGCTGATTATAACTTGTCTATACCACATTCAGGGAACCTAGTCAGTGCAACAAAACAAATGCACGTCTGTAATATTAAAGTAAATGTAGATAAGGGTGCTACGCCTATGTTTCAAACGAGTTTTTACTTTACAAAATTTTGTGTCTATCAAATTGGGTTGGTGCAATGAAATACTAGTAATAACACTGTTGTATCTCCAAATTTTCGGGAAAATGGACCGAGCTATTCCTAATTTAATCAATAAAATAAATTGACTCATTCATTAATTTTTTTGAGCTATCTGTTAAGTAAATCTGAAAAATATGAATGGAATAATAAATCACAAGTACAGACTCACCATATTTTGTACATTTTACATAGGACATATTCATCATCAATTTTTTAGGGGGGGGGGGGTGAGCAAATACATTCTGATTAAAAATTTACCATGCAAAATTTGATAACAATCGGACAGACAGATAGACAGATGGAAAACGGACATCTATTTCTTCGTACTCTAGGGGCCATGAAAGGTCGAGAAAATTTAAAAGTAAAAGATGACTTAACAAAGTTATGTTGGTTCTTAATCCCATTGAATTTGTTCTTCAACATACGACGATATTTCGCCTTGTGCATCTAAACTTAACTCCGGCCGAAGCCACGAAAAAGTGTGTGCTTTGTTCAACGAAGTACATTTTGAAAAAATAAATAAACGATAACACCAATTTGAATCTCTTGTTATCATTGGCTTTACAAGAAAATGTTAGCCAGTCGTTTGTGGTAAAGTTTTTAAAAGAGAAACTACATCCATACAAAGTCCAACTCATACATGAACAGTCAGGAGATGATCCCGACAAATGGTTGGAATTTTGTGAAAACTTCATGAAACATTGTGACAACAATCTCAATTTTAACGAATCTGTAAAGAGGATTTTGCAAAAACCGTAGGAATTTGTGAAGAAACGAAGCCGAAAACGACTTCTGGATATTGAAATCTACAAGAAAATGTTTTCAACTAATTATATATTATGTAGTTAAAAAATGCCAAAATCACTCTTATCTTATTAAATACTAGCCCCGCCCACCCACCCTCTATTTTCTTGGAAGCTATGTTGCTTGCCAAAATCAGCAAGTACTAGCTCCGCCCACCCCCTCCTCTTTTCATTCTAACGACTGTTTAGTATACGATCATTCATTTAATTCAGATCGGATAAAATCAATCACTGAAAAGGAAACAGGGTGGGTGGGCGGCGCTAAATATCTTCTTCTGTCGAGTGGGAATGGAAACTAATAATAAAATCTAGAATGTGAAAAAAAGCGCTAAGCTTAACTTTTTTTGTTATCCTATTTGCGATGTTCTGGATATCGAAATTTACAAGAAAATATTTCAATTAATTTTCGGATATAGTTGTAAAATAGTCAAAAATGTCAAAAATGCCAAAATCACTCTTATTTTATCAAATACTAGCCCCGCCCACCCGCCCTCTATTTTCTTGGAAGGTATGTTATTTGTCAAAGTCAGTCTAATATTGGCAAGTACTAGCCCCGCCCACCCACCCTCTATTTTCTTGGAAGGTATTAAATTTGCCAAAATCAGTCTTATCTTAGCAAATATTAGCTCCGCCCATCTTCTCTCTTCTCATTCTAACTACGAATTTAATTTCTGGTCAGTATAAGGTCATTCATTTCATTCAGATCGGATAAATAAATCACTGAAAAGGAGACCGGGTGGGTGGGCGGGGCTAAATATGTTCTTCTGTCGAGTGGGAATGGAAACTAATAATAAAATCTAGGATGTAAAAAAAAGCGCTAAGCGTAACTTTTTTTGTTATCCTATTTGCTATGTTCTGGATATCGAAATTTACAAGAAAATATTTTCAATTAATTTTCAGATATAGTTGTAAAATAGTCGAAAATGTCAAAAATGCCAAAATCACTCTTATCTTATCAAATACTAGCCCCGCCCACCTCCTCTCTTCTCATTCTAACGACTAATTTAATTTCTGGTCAGTATAAGATCATTCATTTCATTCAGATCGGATAAATCAATCACTGAAAAGGAGACCGGGGGCGGTGCTAAATATGTTCTTCTGTCGAGTGGGAGTGGAAACTATAACTAATAATAAAATCTAGGATGTGAGAAAAAAGCGCTAAGCGTAACTTTTTTTGTTATCCTATTTGCTATGTTCTGGATATCGAAATTTAGAAGAAAATATTTTCAATTAATTTTCGGATATATGTAGTTGTAAAATAGTCGAAAATGTAAAAATGCCAAAATCACTCTTATCTCATCAAATACTAGCCCCGCCCACCCGCCCTCTATTTTCTTGGAAGGTATGTTAATTGCCAAAATCAGTCTTATCTTAGCAAATATTAGCTCCGCCCACCTCCTCTCTTCTCATTCTAACGACTAATTTAATTTCTGGTCAGTATAAGATCATTCATTTCATTCAGATCGGATAAATCAATCACTGAAAAGGAGGCCGGGTGGGTGGGCGGGGCTAAATATATTCTTCTGTCGAGTGGGAATGGAAACTAATAATAAAATCTAGGACCTGAAAAGAGAGCGCTAAGCGTAACTTTTTTTGTTATCCTATTTGCTATGTTCTGGATATCGAAATCTACCAGAAAATGTTTTCAATAAATTTTCGGATATAGTTGTATAATAGTCGACAATGTCAAAAATGCCAAAATCACTCTTATCTTATCAAATACTAGCCCCGCCCACCCGCCCTCTATTTTCTTGGAAGGTAGGTTATTTGCCAAAGTCACTCTGACATTATCAAGGACTAGCCCCGCCCACCCACTCTCTATTTCCTTGGAAGGTATTTAATTTCCCAAAATCAGTCTTATCTTAGCAAATACTAGCTCCGCCCACCTCCTCTCTTCTCATTCGAACCACTAATTTAATTTTTGATCATTCATTTCATTCAGATCGGATAAATCAATCACTGAAAAAGAGACCGGGTGGGTGGGGCTAAATATGTTCTTCTGTCGAGTGGGAGTGGAAACTAATAATAGAATGTAGGATGTGAAAAAAGAAAAAAAAAATTCGGAAAAACGAAGCTGAAAATGACTTCTGGATATTGAAATCTACAAGAAAGTGTTTTCCACTAATTTTCGACTACCCATAGTAGTTGAAAAATAGTCGAAAATGTCAAAAGTGCCAAAATTAGTCTTATATTATCAAATACTAGTCGGCTGACCAACTTGATTACAATAATGACATGAAAATTCTGGCACGATGGCAAACAAATGTCTCTATCAAGACACCAGGAATACCAACCCACGAAACAATGCTTTATAAGAGTATAAAACTTAATTCGAGAAAATTACGTACCACAAGCAACGTCGGTGTTGTATTTCCAAATTATTTTAAACAGGTCCGGTGGGTTCATTGTTCCCTTGCATATTTGACCTAATTCGTCTGCTAAACAATTTGCATGTTTAGTAAACACAGGAATGAATGAATAAATAACGTTTAAATTAAAACTGTGATTTATCAATTTTCTTCGTTCTTTCCAAATTTCGACTGAAAGCGAAAGTGATTTTCGACGGTGACAAAAGAAAATACTTACAAGGAGCGACCGGCAGAGCATTTTTTAAAGTATCTCCTAAATATTTAGCATAGAAAACGCTTTTGTCTAAATATTTGTTCAACAAAATTTCCGTGTCTTCTGGTTTCGAGATAAGAAGGTAGAAAAGTGGTCCGAACCATGCTCGAGTAACAGGGGCATACTGTGCTACTTGCATTAAAGTATTATAGGTTTCTAAAATAAAAAAATATATACTAATTTATGGCAAATAACTTACTGTTTTTACCTGTAGCTCCTGATTTTAGTAAATGGGCACATCCAATTAAGGGGAGTGCAAAAGGGCCTGGATGCTTGAAGGAACAATAATATAGACGTCTCCTTTTCCAAATGAAATACAAAGTTAAAGCTATTATGAAATACAAGAAGGTGGATGTAAGAGAAAACTGATGCATGTCTGGGAGCACTTTTTAACTGTGTGTTATGGATTTTTGCCATCAACAAATTTACCACACAAAATGAACAGTGTTTCCTAATATACGTCAATTACTCATTAAATAGCGATTTTCTTAAAAACCAAACCAGTTTTATCAAGGCTGTATTCTGCAATTATAAAAAATTATCTAATATTATCTAATCAACATAATGCAAACCTAATTAGTTACGTGAAAATACGTATATATTCACTTAGAAATACATGTTTTTAAACAATCAAACAGTAATTTTTTTTAAACGGATTGCAAGATGGTAATAGCCACATAGAATAGGTTATTACATTTTTGTCATTTTTTTTAAATTTTTATTAGTTTTCCAAGAATTTTGTTAATATTCGTGCGTCAATTTTTGTAGTGTTTCGATTCATAATTAATTTCATATTTATTATAATTTGATAATTTGGAATACTGAACCAAAAAATTCTAAATTTTTGCATTCGTAAGTAAGCAAATATATAGCCTGAGGTTTATATTAAATGTTGTCCATGACACACTTACCTGAAATTTCGGTAATTTCTCCAACAATTTTATGGAATTATGCTTTTTAATATACCTGAATCTTCTGCATCTGCTGCAGCTGAAAAAGTCACTGAAGATCTTAACCATGTGATGAAAATTCTGGCACCATTGGGAACCTATCCACAACCTAGTAAAATCATTAGGATGGGTCAAAGCAAACCTAACATAAACAGGCCTCTGAAAATACTATATGATTCGGAGAGTTAACGGTGAAAAAGATATTGTTTTAAAGTATAAAAATAATTGTCCTTCCATTATAAAGAAAAAATCTACAGCTAACAATTTGTCAAAAAAGTAATCCATTTCTATTATCAGAATGCTGGGGGTATAAGAACAAGACTAATTAATGAATTTTGTTTGGAGGTTAATGCTAGAGTGTACGATGTAATTATTATCACTGAAACCTGGCTCTACAATAAAATATCTAATCCTCAATTATTGTTGCGAAACTATAACATCTTTCGTGCTGATCGAAATATTAACACTAGTACAAAATTACGGAGCGGTGGTGTATTAGGAGCTGTTAACAAAGCTTTTGATTCTTCTATTGTTATGTATGGTCAAAATGTAGAAAGTGTATATGTTCGTATAAATACTAATAAATTAAGCCTAATTGTTGGGGGTGTGTACATACCTCCTGCATCTGATATTCATGTTTGCAGTGATCACTGTTCTGAATTAGAATCTGTTTATCAAAGATTTCCAAATTGCGACTATATAATTGCGGGTGATTTCAATCTTCCCTTTTTTATTTGGGACAGGAATAAAATATCATTTGGTTGGTTCTTTTAAGGATTGCCATGACGTCTTAATTTATACTTATTCTTTTTTAAATCTGGATCAGGTTAACACTATCCCTAATAATCGTAATGTTTTCCTTGATCTTATATTTTCAAATATTACAAACTTACAAGTAAACGCCGCCGTTGATTCAATCTTTGATAACAGTCTCTATCACATTTCGTATTCGTGGTCTCTTCCTAATTTTTGTGTTTCCGTTCTGTCTTCTGAAATTGAAATATTTGACTTCACTAATGGGAATTATCATCTACTTAATGATTGATTATCTGGCTTCTGTAGACGATAAAGTTTCAGTTTTTTATGGTATTCTCTTCGATGGCATCAATAGGTTTATTCCAATAAAAACTGTTAAATTGAATGGTTCATCATATCCTAGATGGTTCAATACAGAATTAAAAAATTTGATTCGTAAGAAAAAAGCAGCTCATTCAGTTTTTCGTAAATCGGGCACGATTTAGGATTACCTTTATTTTAGATAGTTGAGGGATCACTGCAAAGAACTTAATACAGATCTCTGTAAGTCATATTTGACCAGAGTTAACAATAGTTTGTTGAGTAACCCTCAATACTTTTGGAAATTCATTAAGGATAAAAATAAATGCGAGTGTTCCAAAGGAAATGGTTTTTAATGAAGAACGTGCAAAAGGTGGAAATGCAATTTCCAACTTATTTGCTCAGTTTTTTTCTTCTGTATATGAAAAGAACAATAGGAATTTCAACCTTAATTTTGTTCCGGATATGGAAGTAAATGATTATGGTTTAAAGGTGTCTATTGTTGAGGTGCTTGAGCATATTTCCCAAATAAAATCCTCCTCCAATTATGGTCCAGATGGGAGTCCAAGCATTCTTAAAAAACTGTGTCTTCACAATTTCTATTCCATTGATTTTGTTATTTCAATCGTCTCTAAATGAATATAAATTTCCTAAAGTTTGGAAAACAGTTATATTATCCCTATCTTTAAAACTGATGAACGGAATAGAACTGATAATTATAGAGGAGTGTGTAACCAATCTGTTATTGCAAAGATTTTTGACTTCATAGTGTCTAAACAATTGCAGTGTATGTCGTCCTGGATAATTTCTGAAAAACAACATGGTTTCGTTAAAAACAGATCAACTCTGTCGAACTTAATAGAATACTATTCCTTTCTTAATGATGCTTTTGCCAATAATCTTCAAGTTGATGCTGCATATACCGATTTCTCTAAAGCGTTCGTTAAAATAAATCATAAGTTGCTACTTTTTAAGTTATCCAAATACGGTTTTAATAACAACACTATAAAGTGGTTAGCGTCATTCTTAAGTGATAGACAGCAACAGGTGAGAATTGGGAATCACTTATCTACTCCCTTTTCTGTAACATCGGGGTCCCACAAGGCTCACACTGTGGTCCTTTCTTGTTCTTGTTATTTATTAATGACATGACATCCTGCTTTCACAATTCTATTTTTTTATTATATGCTGACGATTTGAAGCTATTTAAATCTGTTCAGTCTATGACTGACGCAATGGAATTGCAAGTTGACCTTAATAGATTACATGCATGGTCTTTGAGCAATTTACTACCTCTAAATCTCAAAAAGTGTTATGTGATCTCTTTGCTCAACACTAAATCATTGGTAACTTTTAATTATCAGTTAGAAACATCTGCGATATCTCGTGTGAAAAAAATCAAGGATTTACGAGTTATTTTTGATTCATTCCTTACATTCAAGCAACATTATTATCATATTTATAATAAATCTATTAGAATGTTAGACTTCATATGGCGTCATTGTTGTGATTTATCTCAGTGGTCCATTAAATTGTTGTATACTTCATTTGTGCGTTCTCATCTTGAATATTGTTTCCCAGTATGGAATCCATATTATAGAGTTGACTGTGATCTAATAGAAAAAGTTCAAAAGAGGTTTCTTCGTTTGATTGAATTTAAACTTAATCGTAGTCATCATCAGGGTGATTAAACTTGGATTTGTAGTTATCTCAATATAAACTCTCTATCTCAATATAAACTCTTTAGAGGATAGGCGTTGTATGTCGGATATTTGCTTTCTCCATAATCTCATAAATCGTAACATTGACAATTCTTTACTGTTAAGTTAACGTTCTTAATTCCCGCAGCCAATAGTCGTATTACGCGTAGTTCAGTGACGTTCAGAATTTCTGTATCTATACTATATTCATTGAAACGAGTCACCCCGTCAAAACAAACAAATTAGCATGATCATCACGTGGACAGGCGAATTATGCGTTTTCATTGGTCAGATCTTGTCTCGATCGAGACATAGTTCACGCAAGTGCACTTTACGGAAAAGCATTTTGCAGTTAAATTATTCAATATTTGTTACTTATCATGTCCTTAATGCATTCTGCAGAGGAAGCTGTTGCGAATGCGTTTTTTTCCTCCGAAAAATGAGGAAAAGGAGCGCGTATAAGTTGTTAGTGATGTTGTGTTTTTACGGAAAGCACACTTGTCTGTTGAACGGAGCACCGGTGGATTCACGTGATGTTGTTTTGACTGGGTGACTCGTTTTAGTGAATACACTATAGTACCAACAAAAATAAGAATCATCCTATCTTAAGAATGATGGAGACAGCAAATCATCTCAATAAATATAACGCTTTCGTATTATTCTACAGTGGTAAACACGAGTTTAAAAGAAAATTAAAGGGTTTATTTCCGACACGATTTTTGGTTTAGAATTCTATTATTTTTTCTTATTTATGTCTTCTGAGTTTAAGCATTATAAACAGTGTATTATGAATATATATTTTTTATGTGTTCTCATTTCTATTGCTAATTTTTCTTATTGTTAAGATGAATTAATTAAGTAGTTTAAGTTTGTATACTTGTATATTTATTTTATGTACTATTATCGTAATTGGAGTTATCCGTCAATAAAATAATAAAAATAATTTTTTTTTTCCTCTATTTTCTGTTTTACGGAAATTGTTGCACTTCTTACATTGCGCCTTTTGTCTTTCCTTTATGAAGCGTCAAGTGGAATTTGTCTCCCTGTTTCAGTGATTAAAAAAAACTGTACGACTATTTATTTGCTTGTATTTTCATTTTAAACAGTTTTAATCAACCAGAAATTATGTTGTTTGCAGGGGCGGCTGGTGCCGGGGGGCACAAGGGCACGTGCCTCTCCAAAATTACAATGTCTACACACTGGACATAGCAAAATAGTAATTTTCAATATTTAAAAAATTATCCGGAAATTTGTGTCATAATTACCAAAACTAATTTTTTATCTCATAAAATGTATCAAAACTTACATCCACTTACATCTAAAGATATATGATATGTTATTGTTGATAAAAGCTGGGCACAGAGACCGAATCATGGCTGATTTAAACGTTTTGTTTATACCGTTGTCATGGAAACCACACGTCCTAGCCATTTCATTCTTGATAATTATTTGTAAAACAAATTTTTTGATATTTACCCCTCACCCTGAGCATACACATTCTGTCCGAAACTAATTTGACTTCCACTATTGCAGACAACAAAATATAATTCCCTATTTGTTTTAGTTCACTATTCATTAGTTTAGTTTCCTGTAGCGCCAAGATATCTAATTTACACATATTGACCTGATTGACTAGATTCTCTACTGCCCTTTCCTCACATATACCTCTCACATTCCATGTCCCCATAAACAATCCTCTGGCCTTAATTTTTACTTGCACCCCTCGTTTTTCTGTTTCTCTTCTTTTCTCTTTAACCTTTTCCTTTGTCCATGTCTTTGTTTTTTGTTCGTTCGTCCGCTTTCTCCCTTACTAATGCCTCATCCACCGGGTCCCATTTCCAGCATTCCCCATCAATTATTATTTTCTGGTACATGACTTTGACAGTTTTCTTCATCGCCCTATTTTCTCTTGCTATTTGTCTCAATTTCCGAACTGAATTTTGCTTTCTGTTTTTTTTTAAGACTTTTATAAGACTTTTTGTCCATTTATTACGTCTCCCGCGATATAGCCTATAATAAAAAAGTATTTTTATAGCTCCGTCGTGATTTTTTTTCTCCAAATTTGTGTGTCTGGGTTTTAGTTTGGGTACGAATTCAATGAAATTTAATGATCTGTTTTATTAAATGTTATTGCAATAAGTAAATTTAAAACATTATGTATCCTTGAATTTCCAAGCTTTAATTTCTGTCTTCAACTCTGATCCTGTACCCTTTTTTAGCTATCCCGAATAAAAATATATCCATTTCTATGTCCTCTACTCTTTTGTAATCAACGGCCTCTAATATTCTAAAGCGCTTTAAAATGACAGCCAAGAAGACCTTCATAGACAGCATAGCATATTTTATACCTGAAAACAATGACAATCTATTTTCAAAAAAAAAAAAACAACGTTTACCTATGCAGTTTCTTGCACCAGCACCAAAAGGAAGATATGCACCACGTGGTCGTTTTTCCACTTCTTCAGGCAAAAATCTGTCAGGATCAAACTTTAAAGGATTAGGCCATATGTCAGGCCATCGATGAAGCTGTGAAATCGAAATCAATATTTCACAGTTAGCCGGTACAAAATAAGAATCTAATTCGATTTCTTTGTCTATTTTTCTTAGTATGAAAGGTACCGATGGAAAAATTCTAATTGTTTCTTTAATCACGCGTTCTAAGTAGTTCATTTTATTGACACATTCCAGTGTAAGGTCCTGGGTATCATCAGTGAGTAATGATATTTCTTGATATACTTTTTCCTAAATAAGTACACTACAGTTTTTGGTTATATCAATATTGATGTGTAACCTGAATTTCGGGATGCATCCCTAATAAGACTAAAGCTGAGCCTACTGCAGGTGTTGTTGAATCATTGGCTGCCAGTAACATTAAGGCACCTTCTTCTAATAAACCATCTGTGGTTAAATTATTTTGTTTGTTCATTTCCAGTAGATAGTTTAAAAATTGCTTTTTTCTATTTTCATTTTCTGGTTGGCTTTGTTTCACAGCGATTACCTAAAACACTAATTTCAACTCATTTCTTTGACTGTTTTTAAAAATATACCTGCTTTATAAAATCCTCAAAAACTTTACCAATTTCTAGTTGTTCTTTCCTCAGAGACGATCTCTTCCAAAAATAATCTATGTTTAGATGTGGCTTGAAAAAGCGATATTTTACACTTTTTTGGTATCTATAACATTTGATGATAGAAGAATGTGATATTACAGCTATAGATATTACCTGTATCCAGTGGCCAAAAATTTTTCTTTGTTGTATAATGAGTCAGGACGTACGTCAGCTAGTGTTTCTACAAAATATAGAATTAATTATACAACAAGAAATAACAAACAAATGTACCGTACCACACCCAGCATCAAGGTAAGTTTTCATTATTATGTCAAACAGATCTGGTGGATCATTTGTTCCCTTACATACTTTATCTAGTTCGTCTGCTAAACGGTTTGCACATTTAGTAAACGCAGGAACAAATGAATTGACAACATTTGAATTAAAAGTTTGATTTATCAGTTTTCTTCGTCCTTTCCAAATTTCAGCTGAAAGAAAAAGTGATTTTCGGCGGTAACAAGCGCAAATATTTACGTGGAGAGATCAGTAAGCCAGTTTTTAAAGCATCTCCTAAGTATTTAGCGTAATATATGCTTTTATCAACAGACTTGTTTAGCAAAATTTCCACGTCCCCCGGTTTAGAGATAAAAAGGTAAAAAAATGGCCCAAACCATACCCGAGTGACAGGAGAATATTGTGCTATGCGCATTAAAGTATTATAGCTTTCTAAAACAAGAAAAAATAAACTCGTGACAAATAATATGCTGTTTTTACCTGAAGGTCCTGCTGTTAGTAAATGGGCGGACCCGATTAAGGGAAATCCAAAAGGGCCTGGATGTTTGAAGGAACAATAATATAGACGTCTCCTTTTCCAAATGAAATACAAGGTTAAAGCTATTATGAAATACAAGAAGGAGGATGTAAGAGAAAATTGATGCATGTCTGGGAGCACCTTTTAACTGTGTGTTATGGATTTTGCCACCAACAAATGTACAACACAAAATGAACAGTGTTTTCTAATATACGTCAATTATTCAACAAATAGCGATTTTCTTAAAAACCAAACCAGTTTTATCAAGGCTGTATTCTGCAATTATAAAAAATTATTTAATATTATCTAATCAACATAATGCAAACCTAATCTATACTTATATAATAAAGCTGAAGCTTTTGTTTATTTGAACACGTTTATCTCAGAAACTACTGGTTCAAATTCAAAAAATCTTTTGGTGTTGGATAGTCCATGTATCATATCTACATGTAGGCTATATAACATCACGCTACGATCATTAGGAGCGAAGTAGCAATGAAAAATTCGGAAAAACGGGAAAATTATTCCTCCTTTTACAGCTTCCCTTGCTTACGCTGCTTAAACGGTTAAAGTTACGTAAAAATCATGTATGACGAAATTGTTCCCCTCTAAAAGTTCTAAAGAAAAGTCCGCGACAGCATATGTCTATCTTTTAAGGTCGAGTCAGCATAACCTTTTTTATGGTAATGAAATTTGTTCTAAAATAATAATGCATTATGTATAAAATTCTCGCGTCACAGTGATTGTAACCGAACTTCTCCGAAATGGGTTGACCGATTTGTATGAATTTTTTTATGTATATTCGGTAGGTCTGAGAATAGGTTGTAAACTATTTTTTAAACCCCTAAGTGATAACGGTGGCCCACCCTAAAAAATTTTGGTCTATTTTTTGGAAAAAATTTTTTATTTTTATTTTTTTAAGAATTGGCATCAAAAAATACACATAACCCTAAATTTTCACCTTTCTACTACCAACCCCCATTTTTTAATCGTCTATATAATAAAAATCAATTGCTGTTCCTGTTAGTCTCGCTAAGACTCAAAAACGGCTTGACCGATTTGAAGAATTTTTTATATTACGGGGATGGTTTATAAATAAAAAAAAATAAGGAAAACTTAAAAGAACAGTTAAAAAATAAAAAAATTCTAAAAATTTTGTATAGGAATCGCCACTTCGAAGTAATTTCAATAGTTGGCTCTTCTGAGGGACCTGTCGTCTAACTGACGTGTCATACAAAACTAATTCTTCCGTGCAATTGTGAAAAGTATACTGCATTTCAAATCGTTCTTTGTTTTTCGTAAAAAAAACGTCGTTTATTTTAAGAAAAGTTTTGGTTAAAGTGAATTTAATTACACATTGCGAAAGTTTCTTATTAATTTTGATCTGCCATTCTATTTACCTATATTCACTTTGTTGGTTTCGACAAAACCTCAAACTTTACCGCTATTCGAGGATTTAATTTGAAGTTTTCAATATTTTAAAATCCTCAAGACAAAATTTACAGATTTGATTGACTGTGGAAATAATTCTGTGTCGTTTTATGAAGTTCATTAAAATGCCGAGAAGACGACAGCCTCACATAGGTCCACGAAGTCAATCAAATGTGCGGCGAACTACCTCAGGTGCAAACCGCAATGATTTATTTCATGGGTAATTCGGATATGGAAGTTGATCAGCGTTGTGCTCATAATCAACATGAATAAAATGAATAAAACTGAGTAGAAACTAATATTCGAAGTACGAAGTACCTACTTCATTATTACTCTTATATACCTGAGCATCTACTCTATGTACTGAGTACCTACTTGGAAATATTGTATCTCCCCGGACACAAATTGAACATCTACGCGTTTTGTGAGCATTTAATCTAAAAATGAGGATCGGCGTGGCAACTAACTGAGCTGTCTGTAAAGCAGCTTAGAAAACGAGTAGGATCGTTGTAAGAGTGAATTTTAACTAAACATGGCGACTTTCATGAACGTGGAACGTCGTCAAAAAGTGCATTCAGTTTGAAAAACACATTAGGAGCATGAATATCGAAAACTTTTCAGGTAATTAACTCTTATTTATGCATAAATTCTGCAGTGCGTTTTTTATAACACTGGCCATAGAGATTCCCGTCTCAAAAGTGTCTACCCCATACTAACTTATATTTTGGTGACTCGATTTTTGCTTTAATGGTTGAATACTGTCACTGTTGTCCTTTTTTGTTGTATCGAGATGCTATTTGAGCATCAACTGTTACCTACTGAAGTATTAATATCATCTAGAAAAACTAGAAATATTTTGATTTGATATTCGAGTAGATACTTCGTATTTCGAGTATGAGCATCTATTGAGTTTTATTTATATCAACCATTGTCAAAAAATTGATCGAACGTTGTTTTGACAGAACTTCCTTCGCACCAAAAGTATAGTGAAACATATTCAGCATTTTCGAGTTGAGTATTTTCTTCACACAATTTTGTGATGACGTAATCAACATTTACGATCAACACGTATACCACCTTGGATTGGTGCAGTGTAATACTAAAAATAACTGTATTGTATTCCCAAAATTATCTGCGAAAATCGAGTGAGCCGTTCCATCAATTTTTTGGGGGCAATAAATAAATATTCTTAACAATTTACCATGCTTACAATAACTTTAAAACGTCTGCAAGATCTCAAAGTATTCATTTTTGCAACTCTTGAGTTATTCACTAAAATAAATTGACTGATCCATATATTTTTTTGAGTCACTGTAAAAGCAAATCTAAAAAATATGAATGCAATGATAAATTACGAAAATATACTGATGATATTTTCCACATTTTAGATAGGATCTATTCGGCAAAATCTTGCGATGACGTCTTCAGGTTTTTGGGCTTGATAAACAGATATATTTTGATTGAAAACCTACCACGTCAAACAGTAACTTCAAAACCTCTACAATATTTCAAAATTCAGTTTTGCAATTCTTGATTTAATCACTAAAATAAATTGACTCAGTGATTAATTTTTTTGAGACACCCCCAATAAGCAAAACTAAAAAATATGAATGGAATGATAAATCACAAGTATAGTCTCATCCTATGTTGGACATTTTAGATAGGATTCATTTGGCAAAATTTTGGGCTGACGTCATCAATTTTTTGGAGGGGATAAGTAAATATATTTTGAATAAAAATTTATTATGCTTATCATATGTTTAAAACATCTGCAAGATTTCAAAGCATTCGATTTTGCAGATTCAAAATTAAATTGTAGGTGAAACGAAGTTCACGGGGTCAGCTAGTTACGTATATATTCACTAAGAAATACATGTTTTTAAATAATCAATCAGTAATTTTTTTCAAACGTTTATAAAGTGATGATGGTTACCAAAAAAGTTAGAGAGTGATTTAATATTTAGTTTTATCAAATTTATTTCATCTAATGAAAAAATAATGCTCAACTTCCGTATTTACTTACAATACGTCAGATGTTTGAGGCGTGCATTCGGACTTTATCTTTTTTCGGTATTTATGTTTATTGCACTTCACAGTGAAGCATTCCAATATTTCCAGTTGGGTCTCAACCAACGAAGCTTTCTTGTGTATCCGTTACTCACTTCATTTTTAACGCAGGTTTGTGAAAATTTCTGCCATTCAGTGTGGGTTGTACTTATTTACACTAGGTAAGTTAATATCTAATAAAGTAATCATTTTAATTTTTACGTGTTTCCGTTATTTTTGATAACTGTACGTAGATAACAAAAGCAGTTTTTTCAGATAAGCTGGAAAGACCACCATTAATCACTGAAGATACTCCCACTATTATAAAGAACTTACGGTGATTGTTTTTGAAAATGAGGCACCATAAAATATTGCAAAGGTATGTTACTGCAATTTTTTATGAACTAATGTTAATGAACATAATTTTATTCTAGATTTGAAACAAATACAAAACACATGTGCGAAACGAAAGAAATGCTAAAGGAAATGAGTGAAAAAATCTCCAGCATAGAAACGTCATTAAATCTGACAACTGGAAAAGAAAAGAAAAATAGAAGTTATGCCGCCAAGACCACACCTAAACAAATTTTGACGAATTACGAGATTATCTTTGCCTATTAGAACAAGCAGATTTCTTTGTAAGTTAAAAAAATACAATGAATTCATATATGCATACAACATTGGATATTATATACAGGTAGATGCCTGTAACACCACGATACTTTCTGGTAACTTACACATTTTTTACATGGCACATTTCGCTTCATTGTAAAAAATTATTTACAACGAGATTTTCCTGATAGGGTATGCGTTTTTGTCAATGCAACCATTTTACCATTATCCGTTAAATTCAAGTAAATTTAGCATTTTTAAAATGCAGAATTTGTCTTCTGCTTTAAGCTGTAACCCCTTAAATTTAATAATAGCCAAATGCTTGCTGTTGCCCATAGACAAAAAAATTGGTCTAAAGAGTTTAGACAGTACTTCCCTCGCTGTCGGAAACGTGACGACTGCATGCCTATTATGTTTTTTTTTTCGCAGTAGATTTCAAAGCATTCGATTTTGTAGTTCCTGAGTAAACCAGTAAAATAAATTTACGCATTCATTATTTTTTTGAGTCACCCAGTATATGCAAATTCAAAAAATATGAATGAAATGATAAATTACAAGAAGAGACTCATCGCATTTTGTATATTCTAGATAGGATTTATTCGGCAAACTTTTGAGCCGACGTCATCAGTTTTTTGGAGAAGATAACCAAATATATTTTGACTAAAAATTTATTATGCTCTTTATAACCTTAAAACATCTGCAACATTTCAAAACATTCGGTTCTGTAGTTCCTGATTAAATCAATAAAATACATTTACGCATTCATTAATTTTTTTGGGTCACCCTGTATATGCAAATCCAAAAAATATGAATGGAATGATAAATCACAAGAAGAGATTCATCATATTTTGTACATTTTAGATAGGATTTATTCAGCAAAATTTTGTGGTGACGTCATAAATTTTTTAGGAAGGATGAGTAAATACATTTTGATCAAAAACTTACCA